ACCTCGATGGCTTTTCTTCAACTGGTGAGACTTTTCATTGGGAAATCAGGGAAAAATATGGGATGCTTCTCTGTCTCGCCAGGGAAAAAAGAACTCTTTGAGGAGTCTAATTGGTCTCTGCCTCATGGCAAAGACCCCTAAATTTTAGCTCTAGATCAATAAGTGATGCTGTTAGGCTCAAAAGAACCCTCCGTTGGGGTGATTCCACCACAAATATAGCAGAGTATCAGAAGTACACTTCATAACCAGCAAAGAACTCACCCCCAGATAAAAGATAGTTCATAATCAGGGAATTCATAGTTTTGCCAAGAACACCAGCCTGGAATGATATAAAAATAGTTAAGTTTTGGGCAATATGGATAAAAAAAACGTTGGTGAGCTCTGAAAGACTCAGGACACCGCCCTCTTTGTGGCACCCCAAGTAGTCACTTCTTTCCAGGAGGAAGAACATAGGGGTGTCCGAAACAGCATGGAATCTGTTCTGTTTTTGGTCAGTTTTTGTTTCAATTTTCAAATGCTCGCCCACCCGTTTTCTTCCTGAAATGGATTCCGAATTACGAATCCGAATGCCCCCCTCCCCCAAATCTCCCCGAATGTTCCTGAAAACAGAACGCATTCGCACACCCCAAGAAGGAAGAGGAGCCCTGGGAGAGAAGCACCCTGTGGGTTTGGTGACTCAACCAGAGCCGGGGATCGGGCCAGGACCAGGCTGGGCTCTCTGCCCCGTTGCCCTTGTAATCACCACCGCGGTTCCTCACTTTGCATCTGCCCATACGCCTTTGCGTAGTAAAATGTTATGGGCATGGGGCTTCTCTTCTCCATTTGCATTTCTTCCTTTGGGCCTGACACTTCTCAGCCCTAGAAGGGGCCAAGCCAGAGGGAGCCTGGGGGCCTTTCTAAGGGGAGGAAACTTTGCTCGACTCTGCCCAGCCCTTTTCGGTCCCGAATCTGAGCAGCCTGAGCCCTGCCAACCTCGCTGCAGGCAGGCAAGAGGCTCTCCTTCAGCCCTTCCTTTCCACAGGGAACTCAGCACATGCTCTGAAACCCAGCACACCACTCAGGCAGGCAAGAGGCAGCTGAGTCCACTGTCACCACTTTGGATGTGCCTAGAGGCAGGGACAGTGTGCTGTCGCATGCT